CAGTACAGTGGGCTTTAGGCCATTATTCGGCTGAAGCGATTGGATAAGTACTTGATCATTACAGGACGAGATTTAGAAGGTTAGGCATCTTCATCAAAATCGATCAATACATATCTAATCATTTCGGCGCAGTCTCCTTATTTACTGCATCCTAATCTATGTCCTATATCCTATCCTAATCCAAATCTATATCCTCTATCCAAAATCCATGACCAAATCTGCTAATCTACTACTCTGCTGTTATCCTAATCTTGCGATCTGCTACCCTACAGCGATTTAACGTTTACCGTTGCAATCGGTGCGACGTCGCGCCTTCCTAATTCGACAGAGACCAGCTCTTAGGAAGAGTATCTGAGACAAAGCCTGAGTTGATTCCAGCTGCCGCTGTCAAACTAAACAAGAGAAAAGCAGACATCGCCATAAATTGGATGGGTGGCCTTCATCCACGCGAAAAAGAGTGAAGCCAGTGGATTCTGCTACACGAATGACATTGTGCTTGGTATTCTCGAATTGCTGAAGTATCACAAAAGGTTGGTACTCATTATGGATTCTGTTTTGGTCGCTGGTTAATGGTGTTGTTTTTTACAGAGTTCTCTACGTTGATATTGATGTTCATCATGGAGATGGTGTCGAGGAAGCATTCTATACTACTGATCGTGTAATGACGGTCTCGTTTCATAAATACGGTGATTTCTTTCCGGGAACAGGTGATCTAAAGGTGAGTGAAAATATGTTGTTGCTTTTTCAATCTTCCTTACTATTTCGTATTTGTCCCTGCTCCTTTTATTTATGGGCGCACGCATAGTCGGTCATCTCTTGATCGTAAACGATCTTAGGTCGCCACAGATTAGGTGCCACGCCATAGTCAGGTCGGACACAGCACGAGGCGTAAACTGTCGGCACGCGTTGGATGCGTATCGATCGATCGGACTTGCTTGACCGTGTTTCGACGATATAGATTGCTGACAGTTCGCGACTCGTATGCTGTCGGACGACCGACCGACTATGCGTGCGCCCTTACGATCGGGCGACCGACTATGCATGCGCCCCGCCCCATGAGTGTAGAGAATAATAAACCACTTTATGACTTATTAACTTCAAAAGGCCCATTAACGTTTTGAGTTATTCCTGCAGAGTTTAAGAGAATATTCCGTCTGATCTGCTGACAATACAGTAAAAGTTAATTAATTATGTAATGTTCACAGTCGTGATGATGTCCTTGGTTGGACTATCTTTGGAGAACCACTCATTGGGCATGAAAATTAAGCAGGCTATTACTTGAATCCCGAACTCTTAGTCCGCCCTTGATGCTGCTGGAACGAAGGGAGTTTTGGCTGTAGTTTCACAGCTTACCGTGCGTACTGAAGTGCGAGGCAAACACATTCCGAAAGATATGAATTGCATTTGATTTCCAGCAAGAATGTTGTGCCAAAAATTACCTGAATTTATCAGAAGACAAGTTGTAATATGTTTTGTTCACCCACACGTCTCATTCTTTTCACATGCTTCTTTATCTGACCGGGTCTGGGTCGCTAGGACAAGGAAACGATTCTCGTTTTCGCGGTGTGAAGTTTTTTCGCTATGTTAATTCAAGCAAATCTCGGTTATTCGTGGACGTATGGTTCCCGCAGCGAAAAATTTTAGCGCTTCGAAAACAAGGTGTTTGCGCCTACCCTGGCGCTACACCCATACTTATCATGGAACTGCGTTTAATTTCAGTGAGCGTGAGCATATCCTTCACTGTGACGTCATTCATATATTTTTAAATTAATGTTCTAATTTTTCCACTATTTTTGCCAGTTTCACCATAATAAGCCATGTTTTTGTCAAGTTGATTTGGTCCTAATGTGCTCGGAAACTGACCCAGAAATAGGACTTGCTGATTTTCCACACCCGCGTTTAGCTATATGACTTCAGTAAAAGGAGATTTTTTCAGGACATTGGTGCAGGCAAGGGTCGTCTTTACTCACTCAATGTCCCATTGAAGGATGGCATTACTGATGACGCATATCAAAGCATATTCAAACCTGTAAGTTTTTTTTGTAATTAATTATTTCCAATTCATATAAGCTCTGGAAGATCTACTTTCATTTCTTTTCTATTTCTTTTTACTGTTGTCTTATAGTAATTCCTTTTGAACTGGCGGGTGTGGTTCACTAGGACAGAAAGCGACTTTTTCGCGTTTCGCAGCGCGAAACATTTTTCGCTGCGGGAACCTCAGGTCCACCGCTGATCATCAGTGGACCCGAGGTTCCCGCAGCGAAAATGTTTCGCGCTGCGAAACGCGAAAAGTCGCTTTCTGTCCTAGTGAACCATACCCGAACTAGCCTTCTTCTTAGATCGCTACTCTTTTTTCCATGCAAAAGAGTGAAGGTGTGTAAGCCGGAGTATGATTTGCTAGGACAGAAAACGACTTTTCCGCTTTCTGCAGCGCGAGGGAACCCCGGGTACACTACTGATCAGGACTGGACTCGTGGTTCTCGCAACGAAAACGTCTAGCGCGGAAAACGGAAAAGTCGCTTTTTCCCTATGGAACCCGTGTACGCCTTATTCACCGTAGCAGCTTTGCGCAATTACTGTGTTACGTTCATGCAATAATCATGCTAAGCAATGCGCTCCCAAATGCAAATCAGATTCTACATTGCTCTCTTTTTCAAGGTGATGACAAAAGTGATGGAGAGGTTCCAACCATGTGCCGTTGTCTTGCAGTGTGGTGCTGACTCCCTGAACGGAGACCGTCTCGGTCCTTTCAATCTCACTCTAAGAGGTTTGTATTCTATGCACAACTGGAATTTTTTGGATATTCAGTAAACGTGTTACAGGGTGTGGTTCTCTAGGACAGAAAGTGACTTTCTCGCGTTTCGCGCTGCGGAACTCCAGGTCCACTCATGATCAGCGGTGGACCTGAGGTTCCTGCAGCGAAAAATGTTTCGCGCTGCGAAACGCGAAAAAGTCGCTTTCTGTCCTAGTGAACCACACCCTGCGCTACATACGGTTACGCTGGCCCTGCCATGACCGCGCTTAGTTGGTCCCGTGTTTCGGACGGGTAGTTCTTTTTATACGTTTCATAACTCTCTGCTCTGCAGAAGTTCCTGTCACGTACAAATCCGATTCATAGATTGAGGAAGAGCGCGACTGTCGTGGAGGCTCAATTGTGAAAGATTGACAGTTCAGGGCATGGAGAGTGTGTCAAGTTCTTCCGAGCGCAAAACATCCCGTTGATGATGGTAGGAGGTGGTGGATATACTCCACGTAACGTTGCCCGTTGCTGGACATACGAGACGACGCTAGCTGTGGATCGTGAAGTTCCTGATGGTAGGCTCCAGAAGCTTTTGAAATATTAGCACGTCTGAGTTTATATTTCCAGAATTGCCTTATAACGACTACTTTGAATATTTTGGTCCCAACTATCGTTTGCATATTGACCCATCGAGCGCCACCAACGAAAACACACCGGAGTCTTTGCGAAGAATTCAGTGAGTTCTTCTTTCACGGGCTTACCTATATTTCTTCTGAGTAGTGGTATTCAGGGAAGCAGTCATCCAAAATCTTGAAAAGCTTGCCTTTGCTCCAAGTGTTCAGATGCAACGTGAGTTTTTATAATTTCACGTTTTTGTTTCATAGCTGGTTGCGATAAGATCTGTGAGGAAACCCGTTTTCTAGCGGGAAATTTTTACTACAAATCATTTCATAGTTCGGTGAGTGGGAGTTGCACGAAATAATTTTGATTTAACATTCTTCCAGTTGTTATGACTGGAAACAAATCCAGTATAATTTGGGCTTCCATTGTTTAACTATCCCCAAGGGGGTCAGAGATTTTTTAAGGATTAACTTTCAGCTGTACCTGAGGATGCTATAAAAGCTTTGAATGACTCCAGTCTCGGGCAGGACATGGCAGATCCCGATGTCCGTTTGCACAGTGAGTGAAATTGTTTTTTGATTACTATTTTACTTATTCACAAGATTCTTCACTTGTTTTCCTCTGAATGCAAGGTACGCATTCATCACAATATGACCATTTTCGAGGGAATAACTACTGTTTTTTAAAGGTAGAATGGGACGGACAGTTTGTTTTCCAATCTTTACGCTCAGTCAATCAGGACACCCTTAAAAACTCATAAAATGCTGTTCCATAATTAATCCGTAATACGTACGTAACGTAATTAATACGTTTGCCTGAGAGATACTTAAGCACCCTCACTGTAGTTGACGTATTGTAACTCGTTATCCGCTATAATATCAGGGGCCGCATGTAAGCTATTTGGAAAGGGATTTCAAAATTGTTTTTCCAATATAGTAGTTCCCTTACTTTCAACTTATCCTTATTTTCGTAGGCACATCCCACAAATACGCCCTTCTTAAGGCACGACACGAACTGCTGGACTACAATGCCCCTTTCATAGAGGAAGTGTGCGCAAATAAAATTCAAGGGACCTTCCCCAGAGGCAACTGAACATTACGGTGCCTTGGGTTAGCTACATATTGATCATTGTGACCATTAACAGAAGAACGTGAAATCGAACGCAAATGAGTGCAGAGAATTCAATTGACTGATGTGTGGATAGCATGAGCATATCGAGAAATAAAAGAGCAAACAATTCAAAGTGTTCTTCTGAAAATATATAAACAATTCCAGGGTCAATTATGGATGGTGTGACCCAAGATGCCGGCGACTACTATGACGGCGAAAATGAAGGCGATGATCGACGAAACGAGTCCAACGCTAAGAGAGCAGCTGAAATGCCAGCGCAAGATCAAGTGGATGCGAAAAAAATGAAAACCGATGAGGCGAATGTGACACTGTAAAGGAGCTGAACGCTTACCAAATTGTCCGACGATAATGAATTCGAAGGACCGAACCGGTGAGGTCTTCTCGAAACTTTCTATCAGGTACCCGTTGTGGCGTTGAAGGTACTATCTATTAGGTACCAGTTGTGGCGTTGAAAGTAATTTTTACGAAAAACGATATCCCACTGAGGTTGTTCAGGACATCGACGCACTCTGTGCATTATTAACACACTCGGTTATCAAGTCTTTTTTTGTTCTATTTTCTTTATCACCTGAGCACCCGTTTGAGGAGGAGTTGGGACATGTGCGCATACAATATGAACCAATATAATTAAATGTGCCGCTTTTCCCTGTCCTCCATTGGTTCTGTTGTGTTGACCTGTTTTTATGCTTATCTTATTTAACCACTAAAATATATGAATGCTGCGACGGCTGAATGATACTGCCACCATTTATGTGTTTGAACTTCAACGTCGAGGGTTTCCAGTACCCAAAGAATTAGCAGCATTGTGATGTACATCCGAGTACTATCTATAGATTCTCTTAACGCTAAAAGAAAAAGAAACTGAATTCAATAGTTTCGCATAAGGAGGGCATGTTTCTTCTTATTACAAGCAATCTTAGGATCTTGTGCCATAGAATTTGCAAGCACTTGGCGCACTCAGTTCACCAATTGTCACGTGAGTTGGGAGATAGAAGAAACACGACTTTTCGGAGAGCAAATCGCTACCTTAAGCTCATTTCTACTCTAAAGATCCTTGCTAGACTCTCCAGCAGGCGATAGCTCTTTTCACAAGGCAAGAGTGGTGAAGAATTGTTACAAAGCCAATTTTGTTGACTTCATCTCTTCAACGAGTGATAGGTGGCGTTTCAGATTTGAAACCGATGACACTGTCGGATCAATTCTAGGAAATAATGCTTGCATAATGCCCCACATTTCTGCGGATTAACTGAAGAAGCCGCTTGCGTAGAACGAGTCCCATGCACCATATTGTGTGCCACAGTCCATGCTTCCTCAATGTTTTTCAAGGCCTCTCTAAATCACAACGAAGAACTTTTGGTATTTAGTAATTTTTACGATTCAGAATGAACTGTGAACATTACTGCATTTTTGATTCCTTGGAATTGTGGCATGCTCTCTCTCTATGCGACTCATAAAACTTGTCGCTATAATTTTGGCGCTCCTGTATTGCACAAGCTACACGGGGCCGTGTGGCTCTCTTGAGGATGAAAGCCCTCAAAAAAAAGATTTTTGGAAGATTGTAGGAGGGTGCTGCGCTGTTAAAGGGTACGCTTCCGTGCCGCCCTTTCACCTGTGTTTCATAGCTGTTCAAACTCCTAATCAGTGATGTTTTCAGTAACTTCTTATCGTTCTCTCTAGACCTGCCAAAGTACCATAGCACCGATGGTAATGACCGCGTCGAACACCAAGTTATCTCCCTTTCAATCGCATTGTCGTGATATGGTTTTTACCATGTTTTAGATTTTTCACCTTATTTATTTGTTTTACTAACTGTTTGCATCTATACGGAACTATTTTTCAATGGAAAAAGCAAGTGAATGTGATTGATTTCTCATATTGCTTTTCATTTTGACTCTGTACATTCTTTTACATGCCTGCTAGCTCAGTGGTTTCAGTGGATATCATCGTTATCCCATTTAATAATTTTGTAGTAAGGTTCGTTCAAAAACTTGTCGAACTTCTGCGTAAGGGTGTACGACACTCTCGACACGGTTAACATCCATTTGATGTTGCATCGCGCACTCTTTCTGATGTTTCCCAAGTTGTTGAATGGACCTGGCTGCATGCTGAATCTCCGTCCGGAATGGGAAAGAAGGATCGTCTGACAGGTTGCGACCCGCTATTGCTCTATTGGCGCGATCTTTCAAAGGGTCTTCTCGGGTCTGTCAAGCTCCGCGTCTCCACTTTTCCGACATTTTAAACCGCTTGTCTTCTTACAAATGAGGTCTTTCAGGACATGGAGCGCTTTTCCGAAATGGTTTCTGCATGTTGTAGACTCATGCGAGGAACACAGAACCATGGTCCATTTTTCCTGAACGCTTCTAGGAATGTCAAAACAGTGGTGAAGAAATGGTCCAAGTTCGATCCTCCGATGACTAATTTTTGCAATTCAGCTTAGCGCCTTCACATTGCCGCCAAATGACGCTAGCGACGAAAATAAGTGTCCCTCGTAACGTGGCGGCAATTAGGACCATTTCTTCACCACTGTTTTGACGTTCCAAAATCAGTAAAACGAACCATGGTCTTGTGTCTTCGCATGGACCCTCTACAACATGCCAGAAACCGTTTTGAAAAAGTGCTCCATATACCGAAAGAACCGTCTTGTTAGAGAACAAGAATGATAAGCCACGCGAGCTCAATCGCGTACTCCCCAGGAGGCCCATCGCGCGGCAAGAAGGCCGAGTCGGCGGACGAGTCGCGGCGCGTGATGTGCGATGAAGGACGTGCAATGGGACATTCTATTTAACTTGACGCGATTTCCCTAATACGCGCGCAACTCGTCCGCTGAATCGGCATTTTGCCGCGCGACGGGCCTCCTGGGGGGTACCCGAGATCAATCGTAATTGCATTCCCAAGTCCAGGAGGATATGTCACCGTCGGGCCGAGCATGGCATCTCTCTAGCCCCAACCGGGTTGTTCAGCATACGGTCCCATGTTGTCAATACGAGCTGGTGAATAATATATTCGTCATAGCATCTGGTTTTACGAGGTGTTTTATTCTTTTCGTCTCTTACCATCATCATATTTGTAAGCGAGTTCATTGTTATGTACTCGTTGATCTGCGAACATTTCCAGCCGTTGATCTCGTGTAGTGCTTCTGTGGATCACCCACCTTACAGCATCAAACAACGCCTTAGGCGGATGATTATGCCGCATAATGCATTTTGGTCTGGCCACATTTCGTTCATTCACTCGTTTATTGCTGTGCAGAATGGTGTAACTTCGTTGCTGTGGATTTGTTGTTTGTTGTTCTCAATAGGGTTTGATTTGTTTTAAGCACGTCATCAAGTGGTCATAAAAGTCTGTGAATAAACAAGTACAAGATGCGTTCAATTTGATCTAATTTACCTAAAACCTTGCTCTTTTTTTCAGGTGCCCGGTTATGGTGACGGTTTTCGCTTTCCCTGGTACAGGGGCGCCGGTTTCTGATTTGAAAACATTAGGGTGATAGCAGCTTGACTAGCAAAATGTGGACTTGAGATTAGTCGACATCCATCTCCATAAGGCTGGTGTCAGAGTCCTCGATCCGTCGTGAGTCACGCGACGGACTCAAAGAAGTCACACGTGCTCCGATCAATACTGTGAGGTGCTCTCCAATCCCGCCGCCATTTTGCTTGATGGTTATGATTGAATAAAGACTATTCATGATTCTACTTGCTTCATATTCAGTGCTTCAAATGTTCGAAAAGGTCACGTGCGACTTTTGCGATCGCGGCGTAACGATGGATCGCCGGACTTTGACAGCCAGCACCTACTAGATGGATGTCGACTAATCCAATCCATAGTTTAATATCCAAGCTAACACTACGTGTGACCATTAGGTGCCCTTCGGCCAAATGAGGTCCAGGCATTCTCTGTAACGCTTAGGAGGCTGTCATCGTTTGCACAAATTTATCCATACATAAAATGCTAAACACCAATGAGAGGTCCTTGGATCTAGTTACTTACTACTTGTCTTAACTACTACTCGAATTTGCGCTCATATAGCATGGGGAGACATTTCGGCGCGATAGTCCGTGCAGAGTACCGGAATCGCAATTTTCGAAGGAGTACATCGCCCCAATGGAGTCGACCGATTCGTTTGTGCAAAAAAGGGGCCTAGACGAGTATTATTTTTTTAAAGCTTTGATTACAATGAAAACTGGTAATGTGATGTACTTGCTTTAACTTCAGCGCCGAGAACCTGCAGGGATTTGGATTTTTCCAACGGGAAGAGGGGTCGTATTTGTGATTTCCGGATGGGGGGGGGTCGTACTCAGGATTTTGGATTGGGTCGTGGAGGTGAAGAAATATATACTGGAACAGAAAAAAAGGTAAATGCTATCTCAGGAGCTCATCTTCTTCTTCTCCAGCATTAATTCCGTGAGTCGCAGAGTCCGCTGTCATTGTCAGTCCGACCGAACTATTTCTCATCTGACCACGGGATTGTGTAACCTACCGCTCAGCGCCGCCCTCGCCTTCAAATAACCAGAAAATGTGCAATTGCAGAAATTGACGTGGCATTGACGTGGCATCGAATCAAGAACATCTTTGAGCACACGTGACGTCACCTTTTCATCGAGAATTTAGCCACGTGTGCCACGTGGATTTCTGGCTGCATGAAACGGAGTGTACTGGTAATTTATATGTCTTTATTTATCAATAAGCTCATTGTACAGTGTTAGTGTTATTCAGTAGTCCATGAATAAAAACGGAGGTAACAATAGGCCGGATGGACAGGCAAACAAGTCTAACAAGGACCCGAAGGCGATGGCCCCGCCATGTCGCAAACCGCGGTGCGGAGCGGCTCGGATACCAACTTTAGTACGTCCGCACTCCCGCTGAGACTAGAAAGGTCCTCCATAGGAGGACGCTGTGAGCTGCTAATCCCAAAATCTTCTGCCAGGGAGTACCTTGATGTCCTCGTATAGTAGGGATTATCTTCTTAAGAGCACATGGCCGATTTCCGTATGTCTCCCTTCGTTGGTAGGTTACCTTCTGAGTATGCCTCTCCGCGAAAAGCGCGCTGGAGACCACCAGATCGTGGGCTGCAGCCAGGCCCAGATTCGTGCACACGTTCTAGGCCTCTTCTGTCACTGCCGACGTGGCCAACGTGCATCTCCAATCAACCTGCCATGGTGACTAATCTAAATTTCGGAAATCGTCTCATGGCAAGCATCAAGGCTGCAGCCTCAAAACTCGTCCCTTCTCAACCTCCGTGCGATCTGCTTGCGGTCAACGGTACACCGGAACTACGGTCCTGGCTCTTCTTATTCGTTCTATCTCCTACAACCAA